TAAATTTTAAATAAGGACCTAGAGATTCAGAGACTGGAGTTCTGGGCCCAGAGCTGAATCCAGGAATTCTCTTGTGGGAAAGGGGGTGGAGAGATCCTTTCATACCTACCTCCATTTAAAAACAAATTAATAATAATAATTTATCAATAGATGCACAGCACAGAAAGTTTTCAAGCATGAAAAAATTTTAAATATTAAAATCCTTTACAATCCCCTATGCAGAGACAACATCTGTTGGTATTTTGCCTACATCCTCTTGGGTTTTATTTTTCCTTTGCTTATATTAGCAAAATTAGGGATTTACTTTATGTTCAGTTTTATATGCTGCCTTTATTTCCTGCCGCTGTTTTTGTAAGCACTTTCCCAGCCAAATTACTGGTTAAAAGTCTTGTTTTTAACAGCCACACAACAGTGGGTTGCTCTGTAGCTGACTAGCTAACCCACGGCGGGGCATTCACATGGTTCCCAGCATTGGGCTGTTATCCGCGCCAGCTCTGCACGCAGATCTTTGTCTCCATCTCTGATTATTTTCTTGTGACAGATTTCGGGTCTCACCGAGTCAAGAGGTATGGACATTTTAAAGGCTTTTGCTAAATGTTCCAAAATTGCCCTCCTGGGAAGCTGGCCTGGGTTCCACTTCCCACGAGGGGTCTAGGTGTGTCCTCAGATGTGTTCTCACGCCTCCCTCCCACCTCACTCAGCATCTTCCCAATTCAGCCTCCCATCTCCCTTGAAAACCATGGGAAAAGTTAACATCCTGAAATGTCTAAGCATGTAGTTATCTTTAAACACTTTTAAAAGTCAATATAATTATTCTAGTCCCATTACGTTCAATTTGCAGCAAATTATGCCTTTAGCGTGAAGTGGGGGGTGCTTTGCTGGCTGGGGTGGGGACAGGGCTCGGCTGTTTCTAAGGGAGCGTGGCTGACACACAGGCTGGGGGGGCTGCATCGGGTCCTTCCAGAGGGGGTGGTCCCCGTGGGAGCCTGGGTGCCTTGAAGCTCTGGAATTGTGCCCACGCCCCAGCCAGGCAGGTGTCCCAGGG